CAGTGCCTTGGTGCTTCTGAGCAGGTGTGAGCCGAAGCCCCCCGAGACACTACTTCAGCCAGAGGTATCATCAAGGCATTTTTGCCTCCCTTTGCTGCATTTTTATTTCTTGCCACACTCATCTCGAGCCTAATGGGCCCCAGGGTAAAGACAGAGGGGGTAGAAATGACATTGAACTCCTGATGATTAAAGGAAGTCTCTTTCTTAGCTGTGGGAGGCAGCCTAGGATAGTAAAGAGAGGACTGGTTCTATGGTCAGTGGGATTTGAGTTTAAATCTTGCTCCTGAGTTTACCGCCTGTGTGACCTTGAGCAAAGTCACTTCACATTCCTTTGGCCTCAGTTTGCTGATCTGGAAAGTGAAGGCCTCAGAATTCGAGGCCGGGTCTAGATCTAAGATCCTATAATCTCGAGATGGAGGGGCCCCAGGGTGAGTCCATCAAGAGTATTTAGCATATGCCAGGCACTAAGCTAAGTGCTGGAGATACAAAAAAAAGTAAATAGAACGTCTCTCCCTTGGAGAATTTGGATTCTCATGAGGTATACAACGAGAGCAAAAAAATCCCCCAAAACCACAGTATAAGACAAATACAGGATAAATGGAAAGTAATCTTAAGAGGAATGGGGAGGGCAGAATCTAGAAGGGCCTCCTGCAGACAGCGGGATCTGGGTAATGGGAGACAGGGCAGAAGGGAAGACTGAGATACAAGATTCCTTCCCTGGAGGAGGCAGTGTGGCTTAGTGGAAAGAGAACTGGCTCAAGAGTCAAAGGATCTGGGTTCGAATCTTGCCTTTGACACTCCCTGTATGACTTTGGGAAAGTCACTTTTCTTCTCCAGGTCTCAGTTTCCTGATTGCCAAAAGTCCAAGGTTGGTCTAGCTGGCCTCTGAGGGCCTTTCCAAGACTTGATCAATGTCCCTATGACAAGGACTGGTGCCAGCCTACCTAGGGGGGATCCCAGTTGTCGGGCGTAGCTGAGGAGCCTTCGTAATAACCTAGGCTCCAAGAAGGAGCCACAAACTCCAGGACATTAGAGTAGGGCAGACTCCAGGGTGCCAGTAGAGACTGCGTGCTCCATTCGGACTTTACTGGGCACTTAGCGGAGCTGCCTTTCCCAGCACCCAGAACTTCCCATACTGCTCCTTTCCAAAGGTCCCTGAAGTTCAGCAACCTGGTAACCAGTGGGTTTTAACTCCTAGGATAGAGAGCAGTTCTACTTGGGGAAGAGAGAGGGAGGAGAAAGTGAATCTCTGACCCCTTCCACCAAATAGACCTGCTGAAACCAGGTGCCTGAGTATGAAGACAACTCGCTGGCGAAAATCTGATCTCACTCTCCAGCACCAATGTGCAATCCGGTCCTCTGGGATGGCTGAGTCGGGGGAGGATGGAGCCAAGGGGGTCACAACCCTGGAGGATGGGGGCAGAGGGAGAGAAGGAATGAATAAGAGGCACCACGCCACCTCCTCTGCCCTCCTCAACAAGCCAGGTCAGAATCCATGGCAACATCCCCACAGCTACCCCGGCCACTGCTGCCATCTCTCCAAGAGGAGCCAAGCCCAGGCCTCATCTTCCAGGCCCTCCTTCTCAGGCTCAGGCCTTCCTTCCCTCTCTCCCTTTCACCAGCTATTCACATAGGAACAGAGCCCCAGGCCAACGTCCCTCCCACCGGCATAAAACACCAGGAGCAGTCTTAGAATGGGGTCACCACACTAGGCCCACAGATTCTAGCCTTGCAAAGGGCCTATCCTGGGCCTATCCTCATCTTGCCCACTGCCTCTGTTACAGTAGAGAAGGGTCAGAACAAACTGATACTCTGTCTTTTTCCGATTGGGGGGGAAGGGAACAGCTGGCAACTAAGTTAAAACCAAGTCACATATCTGATTTCTATAAGTATGGGATGGGGGAAGGGAGGAGGAAAAACGGTTAAAAATACAGTGAAGGACAAAAAAGGCCAGCTATAATCACATCACGTCCTTACCTATCCATTTTTCCATACCATTCACTATATTTCCTTGACCTTTTGGTGGAAACTCCATCACAGGTAAGTGGCGTGGTTCTGTTCTTTGTGCTCTTATCTCTCAATGAAACGCTTTATTCATTCACTCATTTATTTGGTGGGGGGAGGGTAAGGTTGGGGGAAGGCTCATGAGCCTAAGATTTAAGGGACTGAAGGGACCTTAGAGCCCACCTAATACAATTTCATGGATAAGGCAACTGAGACCCAGAGGAGGTGAAGTAACTTTCCCAGGGTCACCATGGTAACGTGTAACAAAGCCAGAATTTCAACCCAGGATCTTTACCTCCAAATCCAACATGTCACAATCTTCTGTTAGTTATGAAATGCACTCCTTTTCACTCAAGGAACAACAGACAGGAATTGGAAGTGGTTGCCTCTCAACCCTGAGGCTTGCACCCCAACATTCGCCTTGTGCTGGTGCTCCTGGGTGGCCCTGGAGGCCCACAACATCTTTTTTCTTCTTTCTAAGGGCCTGTGAATATTGTTCTCTGATCCAGATTCCCAGAATTCACCCCTTTCCCATTAAAGAGAAACAAGACTGATCAATCCAGGGCCTTTCAGGGGCAGGAAGTTGGGAAAGGAAGAGTATCTGTCCTGAAAGACCACCCAAGAACTGAAGCGTGTTCAGAACACAAGGGCCTATCAGCTTGAAGGCTGGCTCCGTGGAAAGGGAGTACACCTTCGCACAACCTGTGGTCAGAGCTGCCAGTCTGCTGCGGGGTGTAATTCAAGAGGAAGATTCTGAGCTATAAAGCCCTGCACGGTTTGATTACTGGTTACCTCAGGACTGTTCCTCTCCCTACGGCTCTGGGTGGGACCTTCGATCACCCACATGGGTGCTCACCACCCTCACAGCATCAAAGAGCTCTAACAAGCCAGTGGAAAGAAGGCTAGGCTCAGATTCAGAGGAGAACTGGGTTTGAATCCTGCCTCAGACATCTAACTAGTAGTGTGACTGTGGGCAATTACTCAATAAATATTTACCGAGAACCCCCGTAGAAGCAAGGCACTGTGCCAGGTGCTGGGGGAGAATAAAAGAAGATCCCTAGTTATAGTATAGTAGGAGAGATAAGATTATTATCTATCTATTTAGTTAGTTAGTTTTTAGATAAGATTATTATCAAGAATAAGAATGAATAATATTATATGGCATGGTGCCTGGCATATGGAAAGTACTTAATAAATAATTGTTGACTGACTGATTAAGTGCTAGACTTGGAGCCTGCAAGAACTGAATTTGAATCTCACTTCAGATACTAGTTGTGTGACCCTGGACAAGTCATTTGATAGTTCTGAGACTCAGTTTCTTCATCTGTAAAATGAAGATAAAGATCCCTTCAGTGCTGACCTTACAGGGTTCTTGTGAAGGTCAAGTGAAATAACGTATTTTGCAAGTGTTACAGCAGTACATAAATGCCAGCTAGTTTATTATCTTTATCCCAGACCACAGGACTTTGCAGCACTAATAAACGACCAGTTACTGAAAGACGCTGAATTCTCATGATGGTATAAATCTTCAGCAAGTCACCACAGAGTCCTCACCTCTGAGAGGAGCCCAGAAGCCTAGCCCTCAAGGCACCATAGAAGCCCCCCAAAGTCTTCCAGCTATGGCTACGGAAAATTCCTTTCCCTTCCGGAGGACTTTTAAACCCAAGCTCATGAGATGCTCCCCTGCGCCTCTCCCTCAAGACAAGGCCCTGGTTTCTGCTCAGACTTGGCAGCTGGCTTAATTTCTGGCCCCCTGTCAAGGAGCAGCAAATCAAGGCCAACGATTTTGCCAAAGACTGTTTCAGCTGAACAATGTAAAATTTAACTGGAGTGGGTTGTGTCAGGCAAAACTCGGCAGGCTTTGGAACGGCAGACAATCTACTCCTGTTCCCCCCATCGAGGGGGGGAGGGGGAGGGGAAAGGGGAGGGGAGAGAATACTCCTAATTTTTCTCCTTCCTTGTATTTGGAGTCCAAGTTGCTCCTGGGCAGCTCGCTTTCCTGGCTCCAGGGGAACACAAACCCAGGCACCATGGAAACCCCTTGAGTGTGTACGGAACTGCGGCAGAGACAAAACGCTTTCAGGTGCAGAAACAAAATCCTGACCCGCCTGGGGTGGCTAGGGGTGGCCCCTGCTGAGGGACACTGGCAGAATTTACCCACTGCCTCCAACCCGGAGAACCCTGGGAACTCAGCATAAGGAAGGAGGAGAGGTGAGTCAGGAGATAAACAGCAAAATGACAAACACCCCTGGTCTGGGAACAGCCCCTGCAGGATGTGGGGAGCTCAGGCCCCCTACTTAGGACAAATCTGTGGCTCAGTGAAAGGGCCCAATCCGAGATATGGAGTCAGAACACAGAGCGTCAGAGGCAGAGGACCTGGGTAGCAGTCCTGGTTCTGCACTGGGCAAACTACCTAACCTCAAATGAGGAACCACTAAGATCACTTACAATTCTTAAGTCTACAATCCTATAATCTTGGTTTTCCCCACTGACTAAGCTATAATACCCTTGGGCAGATCTGAGCCTTAGTTTCCTTGCCTGAAAAATGAGGATAACAATACCCATAGGACCTATCTCACAGGAATGTTGTGAGGATCACATAGGACCACAGACTCATAAATACAGAAACAGAAGGGGCTTTAGGGTCCCCCCCATTTTACAGATTAGGAAGGTGAGGTCCAGAGAGATAAAACAATGTGCTCGAGGTCATACAACTAGTTAATGGCGGTGTAAGTACTCAACTCAGGTTCTCTGACTCCAAACCCGGCATTTTTCCATGCTACCTTCTTCCCAACAGGCAGAAAAAGCACTTTGTAATTATGAGCATCCCATAACTCGAAACGAGACTGCTGTTGTCCTTTTTTTAAACACATAAGACGAGCCAAACCAGACGCTAGAGGAAGAACATGTGTACAGACATCCTCAAAAGACAGAACTGTTTCCACCATCTTCCATAAACAGGCAAGCAACCAACCAGTGTACCCAAAAGCACTTACCAATGTTTGGGTGTTTCAAGAGCCGGCATATTCGGGCCTCCCGTTCTAACTTCTGGTGATCTGCAATCATAAGAGAAAAAACAAAAGATGTCAACTCAACCGTCCATCCCTCCCACGAAAGGACACACACTGTGCCAGCACTTCACGGCAGCTCCCCCTTCCAGACAGTTTCTCTTTCCTGGAGAACAGTGAAGATTTGATCCCTTATTAATGAATAATTTCTCTCCATAGAAAAGTCTAAAGACCCCTCTTGGATCTCATCCTTTCCGTGAAGTCAATTCTAGATCAGTCTGGCTTCTTTCCAATTCTGCATAAGGAAGCAATGGACAGAGGAAAGAAGCCTGGGTTGGGCCCAGTTGGGGAGGGATTGATGTAAGGGCCCCTCTGGAGCCCAACCCAGTTCGAAGTCTAATGGGCTCTGAATAAAAGCAGGGCAGAAGTGAAGATTGAGCTGCTGAAGATTCAAAGGTGACTGCTGCAGGAGAAAGGATGGTGCAGCAGAAGTCAAAAGATGTGGGTTCAAATCTCACCCCTGGCATTTCTTCCTGGTCACCTCCCAGGGTCTATTTTCTTATCTATTAAGTCAAAGATTTGGAGTAGATGGCCTCAGAGGTCCTTTCAAAATCTGGATTTATGGTCCTATGCTCCATTTCCAACTCCCTCAGGGATCTTAGTTGTTGTGAGGCACTTGAATATAAAGGAAGGGAGATTCTTCCTCTGCTCACCACGTCCAGCCTCTCCCTCAGGCCACGCCACTCTCTACCAGCACCCCAGGGCCCTATTGTTGTAGCATCTATCTCTCTCCCAGCTAAACTGTACCCACAGCCTTACAGCTCATCCCAACCTCCTCCCCGTCACACACACACACACACACACACACACACACACACACACACACACACATACAGAGTCCAAATTGTTTTTTCCAAGGGTGGAAAAATTTCTAGTTACAGCTCTGATCTTGAGAATTCATGATGCTCAATTCAACATTCATTAAGCACCTATCACGGATACGGACCTGGGGGAGGGGGAAGAGAAGGGGAACGGTTCACAAAGAAAAAAACCAAAATAACCCTTCCCTTCCAAGGAGCTTCCACGGGTCCCTAGGGAAAAGCCTTTCTGTCTAGCTCAAAACAAACAAACAAACAAAAACCCTCAAAAATTCATGCTTCATTAAACCCTCTGCATTCAATCCATCAGTCAGTCCAGGTGGTAAAGAGCCCCAGCGTGCTATATAAATGGAAGGCACTGGGTGTATCTGCACTCCTCCCTGGTTGGGTAAACCCTTGAGACGTGGCTCTGGTTCCCTGAAGGAGGGGAAACGGGCAGAGATGAAGAGTGTGTCCTTGCTGCCTGGCTAATCCAGGCCAGCTGCTCATCTGGATCAGCCCCTTCCCGCCTCCAGGTTCAGCATGGTTCCTAAGCACACTTGGTCTTTCTAGGGTAAGGCTAAGGGAGGGCTGGGCACACACATCATTCCCACGTCTGATTAACATCCCAATCCCAGGCAGGGGCAAACTGAGATGACCAGAGTGATCCAGGCACTAGAGTTTACAGCATGAGAGGTGTCTTTGACTCTGGGGGGCCCATGCCTCCCCAGCTGCAAGTGGAGAAACCATCCAGGATGTCCCCTGCACGTGGACTTGGGGTACACTGAACATGCAGCTTCCCTCTCCCTCCTTCCCTACCTATATTGCTCCCTTCCTCCCTCCTTCTCTCCCAGAACAGACTTCTTGCACCTGGCTGCCCCAGCCAGTGTGGGCAAGAGGGCAGCTTGGAATGCAGGTGCTGAGGTGGAAAGCCCAAGGAGATTAATGCTTATCTCCTCACGTAAGTCTCTTACTAGCTAATGGTTACAGCCACAAAGCAGCACCAGCCCTAAAAATAAGGGAGCTCAGGCATTACCAGTGAGTCACAGTGTGAAAAAGAAGGTCTACCCATACTCCCAAGCAGAGAAGGAAGCGCTGGGCAGCCTTGGCCTCCCATGCCTAGATCCACTGCTCAGTCTACAGGGCACAGCCAACCTGCTCAGGCTACCCCTGAGGAACAGTCCCCACCCTGCAGACCACCCTGAAAAGGACTCTTGCCCTGTGCCTTTTGCCTCAGGATTAAGTTTCGTCCATACTCTCTTTCTATGGCACAGGCCCTAACCCAGGCAGGCTCTATAAAGGGTTCCAAAATTCAATCCAACCAACATTTTATCAAACACACAAGGTACTACGCTAGGCACTGAGGATAGAGACGCAAATGAAATGGCCACTGTCCTTAGTGTGCTTACATTCTGATGGAGGAGACACATGTACACAGAGAAATAAAGACGAGGTGGATGGAGGAGGCAGGGGCACTCACAAGTGGGGTAATCCCCTGAACCTTAGGCAAGAGCTTAGAAGGATAGTTTAAGGATGGTATAAAGTGCGGGCTGGAGGCCTAAGCAAAAGGAGGGCCAGGACCAGCCAGCCTTGACCTCAAGCCTGGGCAGTGACTGGCGTGGCACCCCACCCCCCTCCTGGCAGAGGCCCCTAATGTGAGGGAGCAAGGACTTCAACCCAGATCTAAACCTTTCTCTAACGACTACCTCCAACCCCATCTACATTCCACCATGGCTGGGGCTTCTTCCTCCCCATTTTGGGTGGGGGGAAAACCCCAGGGCCCCATGTCAGAAGCTTGTGGGCAGAGGATTCTTTCAGCAGCGGGGCCCCACTCTGCCGGGATGTGAAATCCCCTCTTGTCCCCAGCCCCCAGGAAGCCCAGACGCCTGCTGGGATCGCTCCGCTTCCTCAGACCTTGGATGGCAACGTCGTGGCACGCGGCTGCCACCAGGATGCTCGATGCTCAATGAGCCGTGTGGTTTCTGACTACCACACGCTTGCTACCTCTATACCCTGCAGAAGCCCAGCCATCTCTCCAGCAGCTCCAGCTGTTATCTCCTGTCTCCCCCACCCCCCCAACCCCTCTATACTTCCTGTCCTACAGCAACCCCCCTAGGGCTGCTTCTGTGGCCGGGAAAGAGCTAAGGGCTCCACCCCAGCTGCAGCTGCATTTCAGGAACCAGTAATGGTGGGTAAAAAAAAAAAACCAACCAGCCCTTTCCTCCAAAGCTACCTCGGCCATACTCATGACTCCCTTCTCCCAGGTGCCAGGGGCAGGTAGGTGCCAGGGGCAGGAGGCAACATTCTGTCCAGTGAGGGTAGGGGGAGGATATAAGGAAGCATTGCTGTCGCTCACAGTCCAAGGGTCATTGTGAGTTCTCTGTTCTTGTTACTCAGACCAGCTTAGTTCTACCCCTTCCCTTCCCAGTGGTGTTTCGGAGGAACGAACTTGCCCTTCTAGGGGCCAGGACAGTCCCAGCCTCTTGAGCTTCCCCACACCCCAATCCAGGCTCTACAACCATGAGCCCCCCCCCCCGACACAGCCCAGCCCCCAACCCCCACCCCCTTCCTGTTCAAAAACCAGCCACTTCCCGCTTCTGCAGAAGGCTGCTTCCTGCCGCCTGTGTACTATTGCCATGGGTAGGGACCCGCGGCCAGCCGGCCTTGCAGCCCAGCTCCGACCACAGGCCCACTGTCCCCTCTACCTCCCTGTCAAGAACCACAGTGGCAGCTTCTGCTTTCTGTGCACATTAAGCACCTCCACTCTTCCCTCCTAAAGACCCAGGGGCAAATACTTGTCTTATGCCAATCCCAGGGTCAGGTTCACGGCTCTGGGGAAATGGAGGAGTTGGGGATCTGCTCCGTTTCCTCATCAATCGAGGCCAGTTAACACTGAGAATCGTGGGACTGGCTATCCCACCATCCCTCGCTAACAACCCTGCTGCTCACACAGTCTGCAGAGAAGGCCCAGGAAGAGCCTGGCAGATCAATCTTTACCATGAAGGGGTTAGGGCCTTAAGCAGAGAAGGAGCAGTTCTGTCTTCTAAGCAGCCAGCTCTCCACCCTGAGGTAGCGCTCACAGCAGAAATAACACTTGGAATCAGCAAGGCTGGGTCCAAGTCCTCAACTATGAACGTGGGACCCTGAATGAGAAACCTAGCCTCTGCTGCCTCAGTTTCCTTCTCTGTAAAATGAGGTGGGTGACTAGATGACCCCCGAGGTCCCTTCTAGTTCTGATTCTATGAAGGAGGGAATAAGCATTTATTAAGCACTAACTATATGCCAGGCACTTTACAAAGACTGTTTCATTTGATCCTCATAACCTCGGGGAGGTAGAGGCTATTATTATCATCCCTATTTTACAGAGGAGGAAACGGAGGCAGCAGAGATTAAGTTACTTGCCCAGGGTCACATAACTGCTAAGTGTCTGAGGCCACATTTGAACTCGGGTCGTCTTGACTCCAGGCCCAGGGTTCTATCCACTGAGACACCGAGCTGCTTTTGTGATTTGAGAAGCCACATGATGCACTGGATTTGAAGGGAGAGGATCTTGGGTCACGCTCTGCCATTTACTTACCTGTGTGGCCCTGGGCAAGTCAAATAACCTCTTTGTGATTTAGTCTCCTCACTGTAGAATGAGGGGCTGGGCTTGGTAACCTCGAGTCTTGAATCCACCTTCCCACGATGCTAGAGTCATACACAGTAAGTGGCAAAGCCAGGATCATAGGAAGGCGAACCCCAGACCCTCAATTTCCTCTTCTGTAAAATGGGGACAATACATACACTGCCCACTGTACAACATATTGTAAACCTTAAAAAGCTGTAAAAATGGGAGTACTTCTGTTCTTCTCCTAGGTAGGCCCCTGAACCACAGCCCTCGGCAGCAGCCAGCACCCCCACTCAAGTAGATTCTGACCCTCCCTCGATATAGAGTATCAGCTCCCTCAGTCCCAGCTTGGGGATTGGAACTCTGAGTTCTAATCACAGCTCTGCCCTTTACTTCCGATGGGACCATCCAGCAGGCAGTCCCCAGTTCTGTGGCTGGGAAGGGGCCGATGCGGATCACAAGAAGAATTTCTCTCCTGCCCCCTCAGTGCCCACGGAGGCTATGTAAGTAGCATGCCATGATTCAGTGCTGAGTGCTGGGCCCTTGAGCATTCACGAGATCCAGGCATTGCTGAGGTCACTTCC